TGATGATGATGAAGATGATGATGATGATGATGATGATGATGATGATGATGATGATGATGATGATGATGATGATGATGATGATGATGGTGGAAGGCGACGACGACGACGAGGACGACGGTGACGATGCCGGCGAAGGTGACGGTCAAGCTGAACCGCAGACGATGACGATGGCGGGGTTGAGGCGGCGGCGGCGGCGGCGGCAGACGGCAGTGTTTGAGGCTTGTTGGGCCGTCTCGGGACAAGTGTTGGAGTGCTTTGAACAGTTTGCCAAGTGTCCGCGCCGTTGCTGGGAAGACTGTTGCCGCGCAGCCCGGTGGCCCCGCTTGTGAGCCGTCGGAGTACGCGTGTGCGGCATGCCCCGCTGACGTGCCAGCGCGGCATTGAGACGATTCTGGTATGACTGCGCAGTGGTTCCAGGACCGTTCCAGCATGGTGCCAGGATGGTGTTCGCACGCAGCGCTTCTTGCTTTTCGTTATTTGGCGGGCGTCGGCTTCGTGCCCTCTTGCGTCGCCGTGACCTGGCCCTACCCCGCAGGCCTAGAGGTTGACACCAACACCAATATCGGCGATGAACCTCCACCGAGGGAAGAAGATCCCGATCTCGGTGATGGTGGTAATATTCTGGCTTCCAAGGTGGCCGACATATTACCACCAACACCGACATCGAGGACCATCTTCCCCCTGTGGAGGCAAGCCCCCTGAATTGGTGTTGGTGCCAATTTCCAGGCCTCCAGCGACCCCTCCTGCCTCGGCCCTCGTCTCCGTCTCCTCGGCCGCGGGGGCGGGGCGCCGCCGCGCGCGCGCAGGCGCTCACGGCCATCCAGCGCGCGCAGAGCGGCGGGGCGCTGGGCGGCCGTGGGGCTCCCCGCCCCCGCGGCGGCGCGTCCTCGTTCACGCTGGCCGTCAAGTACGCCGCGCGCGACGGCACGCCGTCGAACGAGCTGTACGTCATGGGGCGGCACGGGGAGCCCCAGACCTTCTCGCGCTGTGGCAAGCAGTCACGACGGGGGGTGTTGTTCGCCACCTTCGGCCTCCGCGGGCCCCCGCCGGGCCCCAGGGCCGCCACAGGACTACTCGGGACGAGAAACCAGTCCCGTGGAAGGGCAGGGCTGGGCCCGAACGCTGTTTGGCTTTGCCGGACTTCGGCTGTGTTCTGTTTTTCGTTTCGGGGGGGGAGGTCCGGGAAAACAGGTGGAGCAAAACGAAGAGCAGAACGAAAGCAAAACGTCAAGCACCGTGTAGGTTCAGCCCTGGCGGAAGGGGCCCGGACCTCTGGGGGGCGGGGGCGGCCCTCGCAGAGGGCCCTCGGAGGCAGGCCCCCGTCCTGGAGGCCTCTCGGAGGCCCGCGCGGGCTCTCGGGGGCGCTCTCGCGGGCCTTCTGCGGGGGCCTCCCCGCCGGAGGTCCTCGGAGGCGGCCCTCGGAGAGGGCCCCTCGGAGGCCGCCAGAGGCCCTTTGGAGAGGGCCTCTGGAGGTGTTCGAGGGCTCTCGGAGGCCCCGCCCAGCGGCCAGAGCTCGGCGAGAGCTCCTCGAGCCTGCGGTGCTCGGGAGCCAGGCAGGGGGGAGGCCTGTATCGGGGGAGGAGGGCAACGATACAGATCCATCGATCCATCTCGTCACCCCCCTCCCCCCTCCCCCAGACAAGAGGAACACATTCTTAACGCTTAGCGTATCCCCACCGGCCCACCCAAATTCAATGCCCAGGCGAGCCGCCCTTGAGCGCCTTGGGTGCGTCGGGGATCCTCTTGAGGCCTCTTGGGAGTCTCTTGGGAGCCTCTTGGAGGCCCTTTGGGCGCCTCTTGGGGCCATCTCGGCGCCTCTTGGAGCCCTTTTGGGGCGCTCTTGGGAGACTAAGGGGTGCTTTTGGAGCCATCTTGGAAGACATCGATCCAGACAGAGGGGAGCTTCAATTAGTCTTGCCCTTCTAGAGTGCCAGAAATCGCCTCTTTGGGTGCTCTTGGGGCGCTCTTGGGGCCGCCTTGGGGCTCTCTTGGGCCCCTCTCGTGGCCCTCTTGGGCCATCTTGGAACCATGTTGACGCCTCGGATGGCCAAAAAAGCAAAACACATGGATTCCACTTAAGTTTTGGAAGGATTTTGGCCTCGGGGCCTCCTTGGGGAGGCTCTTTGGCCACTTGGAGCCGTCTTGGGGCGGTCTTCTGGCCTCTTTGGGCATCTTGGAAGCCGTCTTGAGGCATCTTGTGCTATCTTGAGCCATCTTGGAGGCCATCCTGGGTTCTCTGAGGCGCTCTTTGACACGTCTTGGCCCATCTTGGACGCTCAAACCCCTCGCGGACCCCCTCCGTCCAGGTCCAGCGGACGGGGTAGGGGAGAGGTGAAACCCTCCCCGAAGGGGAATAAGGGGGTTGGAAGAAGAGCCTTCCTGGACCACCTACGCCCAGAGCGCTGGTGGGATTCATAGGAGGACGGGAGGGGGGTGGGGGGAAGAGGGGAAAGGAGGTGGATCTCTATTATAGACGTTCGATTCCCGGTGTCGGAGGTGGAGCTGGCACACATGCCGCCTGCCCGTGCCGGTGCTCCATGCCGCGCCCGTCCGGCCGCTCCCCGCCAGGTGGCCCGCCCATCTCGACAAGGGGATGTTCTGCGAGGTGTTTATCTGTGCCGCCTGGCGGCCTGGCCAGGGCTGCCACCGTCCCCTCCTCCTCCTCCTCCTCCTCCTCTCCTCCTCCTCCTCCTCAGCCTCCTCCTCCTCCTTCTCCCCTCCTCCTCCTCCTCCTCCTCCTCCTCCTCCTCCTCCTCATCATCATCCATCATCATCATCCACTCCTCCTTCTCCTCCTTCTCTCCGCCTCCTTCTTTTCCCTAATCGTCCTTCACTTCCTCCTCCTCCTCCTAATCTCCGCCTCTTCTCCTCCTCCTCCTCATCCGCCTCCTTACTCCTCCTCCTCCTCGCCTCCCTCCTCCTCCTTCTCGCGCCTCCTTCTCCTCTCCTCCTTCTTCACTTTCTCCTCCTTCTCCTCCCCCTTCCCCTCCTTCTCCTCCTCCTCCTCCTCCGATTCCTCCTCACCTCCTCCTCCTCCTCCTCCTCCTCCTCCTCCCCTCCGCTTCCTCCTCTCTTCCTCCTCCTCCTCCTCAGCCTCCTCCTCCTCCTTCTCCGCCTCCTCCTACCTCCTCCTCGTCATCCCCTCCTCCTCCTTCCTCCTCCTCCTCCTCCTCTCATCCGCGTTCTTCTTTTCCTCATCTTCCTTCACTTCCTCCTCCTCCTTCTCCGCCTCCTTCTCCTCCCTCCTCCTCCTCCTCCTCTCCTCCGCCTCTTTATCCTCCTCCGCCTCCTCCTCCTCGCCTCCACTCCTCTCCTCCTCCTCCTCCTCCTTCTCCGCCTCCTTCTTCTCCTCCTCCTCCTTCTTCACTTCCTCCTCCTTCTCCGCCTCCTTCTTCTCCTCCTCCTCCTCCTCCTCCTCCTCCGCTTCCTTCTCCTCCTCCTCCTCCGTTTCCTCCTCTTCCTCCTCCTCCGGAGAGGCCCTGGTATCGCCACGAGGGGTGAGGTCCTGAGGGAGACGGGTCCCCGGGCCGCGGGAGCTCTCCTCGGGGCCACTTCTGCGGCCTTTGTTTTGTTGTTGTTGACGGCTCTGGGGCCCACGGAGGGCCCCACTGGGTGCGTCATTGCGCTTGCTAAGTACTTAGCGTACTTGCTCAGAGGAGGAAAAGGTACCCATAACGCTACCCTTCCCTCGTTTTCCCCCTTTTCGGCCTCTTGGGATGCCCTCGTCGCCACCGGTAAATTCGCCACGAAATTCTAGTTAGATCGCACCCTGCGAGCGGTCCGGGGAGTAGCGGTATCGGTACCTTTGGATCTCCCCATCTGCATTTTGGTTATTATCCATCGGATGTAGGTTATAGTGTGACTGCGAGCGTGATGCTGAGTGTGTTATGTACGAGTGATAAGCGCTTCGGCTAGCTATGCCAACTTGCTTGTGCAAGTTGGCAGGCGCCATACTTCAGCATCATATCATTGCTTTTCTAGGAGTCCCCCACTCGCTGGCCCCCCCAGGGGCGCGCACAAGTACCAACAGTTGCACGCCTGGAACAGGAACATGCGATGAGAAAAAGGCAGGGTGGCAGAGGAGGCGACAGCCCTAAGAGGGCCCAGTGGGGATCGCAAAGGGTCCCCCCAAAATCGTCCACTGCGGCCCTGAAAGGGTCCTACAGCGGCCATGCGAGCCTTGCCAGGGGTCCCAAGGGCGAGGAAGACAAAGGGGAGAAGGAGGAAGGATGACCAGGAGGCGGGAGGAGGCGAGATGGAGGAGTAGGAAGGAGAGGAGGAGACGAGAAGGAGGAACTCGAGAAAGGGGATCCGGCGGCCGGGGCGCAGGCCCTACGCACGTAAGTAAAGCGAGGCGAGCTCGGCCAACAGAGCCTCGGCAACAACTCGACTACACGTAAGAGTGACCTTTCGTCGGAGTGACTTTTGGTGCGGGCCCAATGGGGTCCCCCGATCGCTGAGTGCGATGCGATAGCGGCGGCTTGCGCGTCTGGTGACGTCCCCAGAGGACCCCCCTTGGCCGCGCACTAAAGGTCACCCTTGCCTAGGGTCACTCTTGCGCGCAGCCGAACAACGTAGACATGCAGGACCTCCCATCCTCGTCTCATGCGCCCTGTTGCCCCGCATACGTCAAGAGTTCCGAAGCTCTGTGCCTTAGTGTCAGAGCTTCGGCGGCAAGAGGGCACGGGCCATCTCTCCCTTGCAGGGGTATCTCTAAAGATGCATGGCTCCTGCAGGCGAACTCGAGGCACCAGCGTGCCGTGATCTTGCACCCTGCACGTCGCATACTCGTCCCCCGAACTCGCAATTGGCTAGGGGTGCATGCGAAATCCAACCCACGGGTCGACCTTGCAGAAAAAACTGAACCTTGCCAATCCAGACGATCCCATCCTCTCCGAGCACAGCGCACGCATCTCTACTCGAGACGATCCCCCCCAGTGCGCATGCAGAAGTGGCCGCAATAACATTGTACCCACATGCGACAGGGACATTGCAAAGAAGAATGCTTTCTTTGCCTGTCTGGGGTCTTCGAATTGACCGCACTGGGCTTAGCGATATGGTAGCGGTCTGAATCGTACAGGTGCTGAACGGTGGCGTGCTCTAATACATAGAGGTCAGCATATATCAACCTGTGCCGTGGCGCCACTACCCTGTCAAGAACACGGTGCGTCCGCTCATGCAGGAACGTTGACATTATCATGCCATGGAGTTAGATTTAACTCGGGATGTGCACCGTGTAGTGCTCCTTGACGTTCCTTTGAAACCGTGCGCAGCCTGGTGCAGCGTCAGTTGCTTGCGGAGCTCATCGGCCCGAACGTCTCCGCAGTTTGCAGTCCCCATCCGACCCATCACGTCAGCAAAGCAAGACAGCTGGTCGACGATGTCGCACACTTCCTTCTCCATCGCAGCGCTTCGGGCACGTCGCACCAAAGTGGCCGACCATGTCGTGCACTTCCTTTCATGTCGCACGCTCCCTGCGCCAGAACTAGACACAGGGAAGACAGCTCTGACGCCAAACCAGCTGGCGAGTGGTCAGAGTGCTTTTGAAAGAAACGGGCCTGGCATGAGCATGTGCTTTCGGCCAGCGCCACAATTGCAACCACTTGTCGACGAATCCCCCCCGCCCGTGAGATGCGAACCGCTCCTCAAACTCCGATTCGTCTTTAGCGGAAGTGTCGTCCCCGCAGTATCAGTGCCTCCAGTCCTAGAACCAGCATTTCGTCTACTTAGTCTATATCTCCGTCCTGGATGGGCAAACTTGAAGTGCAGTTGAAGCCGAGTTTGGTTTCCAGTGACGCTTGGGCAGCCGTCGTGCCATGGGTCGCCTTTTCCCGTAGTCTCATCTGGACGGCCTTGACCCCCCGTCATCGGGATGCAGCCTGGGTGATGCCGCGTTGAGGTCAGTCGAGGGAATGACAAAGCCAGTTGGGGTCAGCCAGTTGGGGTCTACAACGTTTTTTGTGCAACAAGCACATATCTTGACCCCGCCCAGCTCTTTGATGCCAGCCGGGAATGTATGGCCGCGCTTTCTTGCACGATCTTGGCCATGCGACCCGTCGCGAGACGTGGGGCCGTCTCGCCTTCGATTGACGGGGAGACGCCATGCCGCAAGTCGGCACCTGCAGGGCCGCCGAAGAAGAGCTTGTCCGCCTAAAAGTGGCTGAATTATTCTCGGCGGAGAAGTTCTGCTCCTCCGCCGAAGAAGAACTTCTCCGCCGAGAGTAATTCGGCCATTCTGCCGCGGAGCTCCGCGGCGGCTTCCGACCTGGGCGTGCGCTCGGTCGCCCAGGCCAGCCCGCAGCTCGAGATCGGCCTCCCGAGCTCGCTCGATGTCCCGTGCCCGGCCTGGGCCTCTCTGGTGCTGTGAGGCTGGGGGAGGAGGAGGATGGAGAGGGGGGAGGGGGAGGAGGAGGGAGAGGGGGGAGGGGGAGGGGGGAGGGAGAGGGAGAGGCCTCTCCCTCCTCCTCACTCCCTCACTCCTCCTCCCCCTCCCCCCTCTCCCTCTGTGAGGTCGCAGTGCCTTTCCAGGCGCAATCTCGTCCGTGTGCAGCACCATGGGCACAGCGAGCACCTCTTCCAAGGAGGCGCAGAACTCATCGTTCGCCTGGAACGCCGCCTCCCATAGGCAAAGCATGCCGGACAAAACGGTTGGACGGGTGGATCGCCGACCTTCCTGCTTGGCACTGAGCGCCCTTGAATTGAAGCATCGATGGTAGCGCTTTGGCAAGCAATCGACTGCCTCGCACGCCTCTGGCTCGAACTTGAGGAAGAATGCGGTGTGGGGGGGCGCGCCGCCATCTCGAAGCTGGCTGCGCAGGTACTCAAGCCCCCTGTCGCTCGCGTGAGCGTGGCGGCCGAGACTGGCAAGCTTCATATTCTTGGGGGACGCCATGATGCTCAGGCCACAACTGCAGCTGCCGTTGCGACGCGCATCACCCTGCTAGCTTACCGAACCCCGCCCCTCGGAGAGTTACACCAGCAAGCCCCTGCGCGCCAGGGTATCGTGCGACGCCTGTCCACGCGACGTTGGGGGGGGGGGTGGTGGGAGGTCGCGCGTTGCTTGGGCTGTTCATATCCGCAGTTGCGTGTTGTTATGACCACTCTCCGCGTTGTGGTTGCGTTGGGTGCTCCAGAGGGCGGGCGCGCTCTGGCACGCGGGCGTCGGCCAAGGAGGGTCTCGTGATGACGCTTCAGAGGAAACCTATGGGGTTGGTGGTTACGACGTTTGCTTTGCAATGGTGATGGAGGTGGTTGTGTTCACGATGGTGCATTGCTGTTCGCGTGCTCGCGCGCTGTCCGCTGCCTCCTCGGGTCGAGCCTCATGCCCTACGCAGGCCGCGCAGACAGTGCCCTCTCCAGCTGCCGGTGCGAGCGGGGGACGCACCGTCGCGACGCATTGCTAAACCCGAGGCCAAGAGGTCAATTGCACGTCGTTTTGGCGGCCGGATCTGTCCGCCTTCTTCTGGACCTCGGCCGCCGCCGCGAACGCCTCGCGAGCCGCTTTCGTGGCGACCGCGTCTGAGAGGCCCGCCCTGATGGCGCTCCTCTCTGCATGCCCTGCTGGCGTGCGCCCCGCGAATCTTACCGTTGGCGTCGGCGGGCTTCGGGCAATCGG